ATATAAATTATAGTTAGAAAGTATCAATATAAAATAAAAATAAAACATACCAAAGATGTAGGAGTGAGTGTCCCGATATGATATTTTATTATCTTAATTATAAGAAATTTTAAATAAAATTATATTGTGATCAGACGGATTAAAATAAATAATTGTTATAATATTCACAATATGACGCAATTACACTATCTTATACTGTTTTTATTATCCCATGCATAAGTACTTTGCAGTGGATCGTTTTGGAGTAATGTGGACTTGGTGATCACGTGTTCTGCTCGTGAATACACCATGTTGCATCTGCACGGCTTTTACGCAATTGGTGTGAGCAGCGGCCTAGCGATTAAGGTGACATTTATTAGAGTGTCACGAGGGGAGATTGTTTTATACGGGGAATAACCTGGTCCTGATATAATTTCTGTACCATAATAATTGTTATCGCGTTGCGTTTTAAATGGCACGCCCTGTATATCCATGTGTTGGACATTGCCTCGAGAAAATGCAAACGCGTATCTTCAATGCTGAAGAAGGCTGTTTGTTACTTCGAAACGTTTCTATCTGCCTGCATGTCCACACGTCAGTATTACCCAGGAGACCAATATATAGACGATATACCTACTTTGTTGAGTGACACCCATTTTATTATTCTAACCTTAAAACTTAAATAATTTCCAGCGCAATGAACAAGATGTAATATACAAATGTATGTGTTACAATTAAAATCTAAGAATAAAAATGTTACGAGAATGAATTGAAATGAACTGGCACAAGATTACTTTCTAGTGCAATGCTGAACATATGGGGGTACCAGAAATTATTATGCAGAGTACTCGCGAGTTAAGTAAGTCCCTGTGACGTATGAAGCCTGGGAAGTCACGTGCTGCAATACTAGCCGTTTAAAAAACGTCGTGATTGTTCTAACTTGATGTAAACTTTGCTGGAAATACTTTAACAACAGTTATAAAATAGTAATTAATAATAATAAATAAATGAATAACGATGTAACGGACAGCAGGAAGTAACAAAGACGCATGAGAAATATGTTTGTACTAAAGACCGATGTTTTCTGAACAGGAGTCACGCATGCGCACATCACTAGTCTACCAGACCGAATACGTCAGAGGAACTTTTTCATAACTTTCGGGCACAGTACTTGTCTAATCACGCGTTGGTTCTCAAATCGGCCGAGATGCTAACGTTTTCATCGCAAATGTTGGTAAGTCGTGGACCCCGCGGTGTAATAAGATACTGATGCCACAATCTTTGTTGCAGTCCGATGGGAACACCGCCTTCCTTCGAGCCGCTAGGGCTGGACATCTGGACAAGGTGCTGGAGCATCTCAAGTCCAACATCGATATTAATACGTCCAACTCGGTGAGTACCAGACACGAAATTGTAGTAAAACGCGCATTTGTCCAGAATCTCTGAGACCATGACGAATGAGACCCACGGTTGAAGCTCAGGGATTCTGGATATATTATTAAAATTCCAAATCTTTAAATCAGCCCTTTCAAGGTGTAACATACTAACTCTTGAGGGCCAAAAGGGAAATGTATGTTCCATTAAATATTGATATTTTTAGCCGAATGGTATTGTCTGTCGTCTGTATCACAACAATATTAATTATAAGGCCATGGTCTAGGCAACACGGAGTTTTCCTCCGGGGGCTTCCCCGGTTTCTCCGTGGCATCTCAACACTTACTCCATTCACACACAGAAGAAGGCAATGGCAAACCACTTCTGGATCATCTGCCAAGAACGTATATGAACAGGTCCCAGTCCGAGAAAAGGATGGAAGGATCCTGGTCATATGGACCTGTCGTCAGACAGAACACTAAATAATAATAAGATGAGGTGGTCTAGCAGTTAGAACGCTGGCCTTGTAATCCTGGGGTCTCGGGTTCGATTCCCGGCGGTGCCCGAATTTATAACTTGCGTTGGGCAAGGCCGTGGTCTAGGCAACACGGAGGCTTCCCCGGTTTCTCCGTGGCATCCCAAAAATTACTCCATTCACACACAGAAGAAGGCAACGGCAAACCACTTCTGGATCATCTGCCAAGAACGTATATGAAAAGGTCCCAGTCCGAGAAAAGGATGGAAGGACCCTGTTCATATGGACCTG